ACAGTTGGGTAACCAACTGATATGGCGCAAATGGGAAAAAAGTAGGGTTTGATTTGCTGCAATTCATTGTGGTTCCAAGCCTGTGTGTTCAAAATCATATATTTACTGACAGTGATGTTTGTGCCAGTTGCTGGTCCTATGCATGTAGTGTTCATGTGTATAGCGCTGGCTATTTGATGGCCCGATACCCGCGGTGCAAGTGGACTTCTCTAAGTGCCTCGGTGCACACCTCCAGTCTTGGTGCCACCAGGAGGGAAATCGCTTCTTGCCAATGTGCTGCATGAGTCCAAATATAGATGCAAATCTGCGTCCAAAATAAGTGCTCCTGTTCACTAATTCACTAATAAATTTTCCTTAGGATAGCTGAGCATTTTAGGAATCAGTTCTGGAGACAAAGCATCTGCAAAGCTTGAGCTGTCCATGAAGGACTTGACGCGGGTAATGCCATAGCAGAAAGCTACATAATTCCTCTTGTCTGTGTTCACAGCTGAGGAATTTGGGGGTTTCCCGCCCCAGATTGTAGTTACAATTTTGAGGAGCTGTCTGCAATTCAACCTATAGCAGAAGAGGTTCAGAACAAATCACTGAAATGAGCAGTGGTAGGTCAGTGCAACCAGGTGGTGGTTAGCTTCAGGTATGAAAAGAACTTAAGTTGGAAATTGCTTGCACATGAGCATCATGGGTAAGCTGTGATTTAAATTGGCCCTGCTACTGAAGGAATGAAAAGTGGGCTGCTTCTGTGCTTAAGGTGTCTTCAAGATGGTCTAGCAGAATTATAGACAAGTTAGGTCTGATGTTTTATGCTGCAGATTGCTTGAGTTATCAGAAGTTGGTAGACGCACATAGAATAGTGTTTCAGAGAAGAGTTGATGTGACTTTAGCAGAGGAAACTCATGTCTTGCACAGATAATACACTTTTTTGAAGAGAGCGGGTGCATAAAAGGGAGCCAGGTACTGTGGAATAAGTGGAAAGTTTCTTTTCTTTTTGAATGAATAACTGGTTATAGATAGGAAATAAAAGATACAAATAACTGGGCAGTTTTCGCAGTGAAGGGAGATTACCAATTACCTGTCTCGGGAACCTGTGCAGTTTCATATACTGATAAAAGAGCTGGAAAAGGGAGGCAGATGATAGTGACGTGCCAAAATCTGCTGATGGTGTAGAGTTATTTCAGGTAAGCAAAAGTAGACATGACTACAAAAAGTTGCAGAAGAATCTGACAATATCAAATGTCTGGGCAATAAAATAGCTGCTGAAATTCCATGTCGGTGAGTCAAGTGCAGACACAATGATAGGGTTTAAATTAGCCCGCGAAAGAGGTCCTGGCGTCATTGCAGATGGTTCTTTGAAAACGTCTGCTCAGTGCTCAGCAGAGGTCAGAAAGGCAAGTGGAATGCTAAGAATTGCTGGGGAAGAGTTGGAGAATAAAAGAGAAAATGTAAGTACACCACTGAATAAATTCGTGGTGATCTTGAATAGAGTGCAATTCCAGTCACCCCATCTCAATGCAGCAGTAAAATAGAACTAGAAAAGATGCAGAAAAGGGCGAGAAGGCTGACCTGAGTTATGAAGCAGGTAGTCTAAGCCTGTGAAGCTTGCTGAAGAAATGAATGAGCAGGATTAAGGCAGAGGTGTAAAATCAAGATGGCTATGGAGAGAGTGAATAAGGAATTATTTGTTGCAGCAGAGGATGTAATGACATGGTCGGGCAAGAAATTTAAAGCAAACAACAGGAAAAAACTTCCACAGGCTATAATAAATTAGGAAATGCTGGGAGTACACGTTGTTTAAAAAGGTAGTAGTGCTGAGATTCCTGGCGGTGGCTCCGACATGTTCCTCCAGCACTTATCCCAGTGTACGGAGTTGGCCATGTCCCTTCTGTCCTCTACAGCTGGGTGAGATTTGGGTTGTGGTTTGGTTTGGCCTCTTGCCAGTAGAACCTGCCAGGTTTTGGGGGGCTGGATTATAATCAATTAAAGGATCATTGTGTTCTTCTAGTGTGATCTCTCCTGTGACAAAAGCCGCAGAAGTCCCTTGACTGAATTAATGAATTAATTCTCTTTGAATTACAGCAGAGTATTTGCGGAAAAAAAGATCCAATAGTACCTTAAAACTTTCCTGCACTGAGTAAAGGGTCCCAAGGGTTAATTACACTCTCCCTAATTTGGTCCTTCCTGTTTCTGCATGCAAAGGCTGCAGTAGCCCTTTTGGCTGCAGCATGGTAATGGGAGGTCACGTCAGATGGGTCAGGAATTTTGAGACAGCAAGGACTAAAAAGTCTGCTAGAACAGGATTATCATCAAATTATATCTGCCTTGGCAGCAGGAAATCAATCAAGAGTGGGCTGATTTACACCTGCTGGAGCCAGCACATCATGAACTTCATCATCTTTCCCAGCGATGTTTTTATCTTTGCATCGACACAGTCAGTGCGAGGAAAATATTTTCCTGTTTGAAATCAAAACATTCTAGGTAGTGTTTGGCAGAGTGTCGGAGCCTGGGGTTCCCGCTGCTTCTGACAACAGTGCTGGTATCTTTTGCTAATGACCAAAGTGCAATATAATGAGTTGTCTTGGGCTTCTGCTTTATTCAGCATGCAGTGTTTTAATAGACTGTTAGTAATTCTGAAAGGGATAAATGATGTTTATGCCCTCTTGTGGTATGTTATTGAACAGAATGGATTTTCTAACTGACAAAATTAGGCCAATGATGGAAAAGTCCCAGGTAAAAATCTGTAACGAATACTGTTTTGCACAGTAGAAAAATATCTATCCCTCCAGCAGCACCCTCATGACTCAGTTAAGGTGGGGGGAAGCCAATTTTACATGCATTTACAGCAGCAAGTAAATGACTAATGCCCATGATGACAGAGTTTGTGCCATCTTTCTGGAGTGAAGATAATTTTAAAAGTGCTTTTCTTTGCTAAGAAGGTTAGAAAGTAAGTGAAATACCGCTTTTTAACAGCAGTTGTGTTGTTGACACCTCTTCATGTTAGTTGTTGCCGACATGTTGTGGTACATAGCTTCACATTTTTTATCTTCGCTCACACGGGTGAGTGTGATGGGTAAATAATCTGATTCCCTTGGGACAAAGCCTTTCCCAAAGATGAAAAACACTGTTTGGTGATTTTACATGGGGAAATAAGGCCAGATTCCTGTGAAATTGGGCTCGTTACCCTGCCGTGTTCAAATACAATGCATTAACTAGTCGACATCTTCCTAACCTGTGCTGAGAATTTAGATGTAGAGTTGGGAACCCAGAGGCGCCCCAGACAGGTCAGTCACGGATTTTGTATCAATCCTATTACTTCATTCCTGATTGAAAACTGAATACAGCAAAATGTATCCTCCAGACAGTGAAACTACCAGAATCAATCAGACTAATGCTCTACAAAGTCCAGCAACTGATGTCAGACTGTGGTCAGTACTTAGCTGTGCTGAGGCAGGATCTGGGAAACCCTGCCATATGAAATTTGAAGATTTTTTGGTCCCAAATAATCACCTATTATTTAAGTGTTAGCTAGTGCTGTGAGGAAGCATTATTTCCATTACATGTCATCTTTCTCTCTGCCCAGCCACCAAGTATGTAGAAGACTACTGTAAAGAGGTAAGGAATGGTTTCCTTTCCACATCCATGATGAGTACAACCACAGTAGTGGGTTTAAATGGAAGTAGTGGGCTTAACTGGGCTAGGCTTTAGGAGAAACTCCCTAACAGGATGGTAAATGTTGGAACGGCCTCCTTGAGGAAACTGGAGGATCAGGATCTGCGTCTCCGAAGATCTTTCAGAAACAGTTAAGCAAATGTTTGCTGGGAGTAAGGCAGCTCTCGTTTGTTGTATCATGATGAAAGAAGTTGGACTTGATGACTTACAACAGGTCTACCAGTTCAATTTTTGTGATTCTGTGTGATGATTTCCTTTTATTTGGTTTATTTATTAGTATGATGAGAGAACACATTAATCTGTTAATCTTAAATGCTGACCCTTTGTTCTTACAGTTGATCTTGCTGTCAAGTCTAGCTGATAGCAATGCAATTCTATGTCCAGTACTTTACAGGTATACTTTGCAACAGTAGTCTGACACCAATTAAAATGCTTATTAGGTTATCATGGACTTCAGTGAACACAAGTTATGTCCCCACTGAGATAAGAATTGGCTCCAAAATGTTGGTCATTAACAGTTTTCTTAGAAAAGGAAAATTCAGTAAGAAAAATGACATGACAATTCATGTTAAAAAGAAATTCCCTCTGTCAGAAACCTTTCAGGAGTTTCAAATTCAGTTAGGGAATATCAGAAAGAAATTAAAGTCTAATTTAAAATCCCCACTCAGATTCTTTCTTCTTTTCCTGCAAAGTGATTATTGCTCCTGGTCCATGTATTGACAAATCTTTCAGAAATGAACCATAATTCTCCTTAAAAATACCTTTCTGGTCATGATGGAACTGTTCTTTTTGAAGAACGGTTTCACAGCGACTCTGTGAAAAGAGCCCAAATGCTCTTATTTCTCAATGACATCAGTGGAGCTAAAGTTTCACCTGGAAATTCTTCTTGGTATGAGGACATTTGGGGTGGATAGCACATTTCAAAGGTGAGGCACCTGCCAGGCAAAGTACTTGGACACTGCAAGGCAGCTGGCCAGGCTTGATCAGAGTGTGCTCTGCTGCCTTTCACACTTGTTTTCCACTTTTGCTGATGGCACCACATCCCTGCCTGGCGTGGTTAATAAAGAGAACGAATGTGTGGCCATAGCAAATTAAACAAATGAGCCATTAAAATGGGAGGGTGCACTACCTCTTCTCACCAACACCTACTTTGGTGCCCGCAATGTCTCCTAGCGCAATAACATGAGAGCAAGGAAAAAGAGCTTTCAGGGATGTGCTGCAAATGTGGTCCAAGCGCTGAGAGATGTCTGTGGCTCCTGCTGAAAGAAAACCTGATGTCATTCATCAGCAGAGAAGCCAGCAAACCGCTAATGGCTTTCCATCGTGTTTCTCGACAGGTATTGACAGAGGGCGGTTTTGGTCCCATCACAACAGAAATCCGGGAGGCTCCGGAGTTTTATTACGCCGAAGATTACCATCAGCAGTACCTCAGTAAGAACCCCGGCGGATACTGCGGCCTCGGGGGAACAGGGCTTTCCTGCCCTATTGGGATCATGAAATAGCCTGTGCTTACTCCACTGCCTCCGCTTTGTTTTAGGGAGTTTGAAAAAAGACCAACAACCCTGCTAAGTGTTACAGTACACCCGCAGCATCAGCGCATAAAGATTTGGGAACCTGTTGGGTAGCTTTCCATAATCTGAGCAGCTTCCCATTCACCGATGTTAAAAGCCAAAGTAGAGGCAGAAATTGCGCCTGTTGGCAAATGCAGCTTCTTGCTCTGTACAACTCACTGGGTTTCCTCGTAATCTTGTAATCTGAAGAGAAAAGAAACTTCTAAAAGTTTGGCTTAAAATGCTGTTAGAAGGATGAATTAGGAGGTGGTTGCACCTGCTAACTGCTTTGCATAGCTAATGCCTTCAGTCATGTTTATTTTCTTGGGTTAATGGAATTGCACATGTTATGAGAGCTTTGACTTCTGGAGACATGGCTGGGCTCATCTTAACTATCACAACCCTGTAATTTGATGTCTTTGAGAATGGTGAATTTATAAGATCAGTAATTCTCTCACAATTCCACTTTCACAGCACCATGTAATATCACCTAGAGTGCCTATTTTCTGAAACAATTTTAGCAAGAAAAAGTAAAAATTGTAATGTGATACTTCTTTTTGACAGTTCCAAAAAGTGTATAAACACAAAAAGAAATCAATTTTGTTTCCTGCACTACAATAAATTACAAAAAAAGAAAAGAAAAATGTTTTCTGTGATGTGTTCCATGGCTCTAAGTATATATCTGGGTAGATCTAAAAAAAGTGTCAAATATTATAAAAGGTTGCAGCCTGCTAATTAAACACCAGGGCTTTTAAATCTGTATTATCATGCATGACAGTACAGAGGAGTAGAATTTGTATTGGCCGCACTGTAACATAATTATTCCTATGATTAATTATTTGTACTTCAGTAGCTTGTGGAGCCCCCACCAAGACCAGAGTTCATTATGGCAGGTGCTGTGCAAACGTAACGGCGGGCAGTCTCTGCCCCAGTGCGTGTACAGTCAAAATAGCAGGACAGCCAGAAAGAGGCAAAATAAATTTTAATTTTATCGATGGGGTTCTCAGAGTGGAGACTAAAAGCTACAGCCAAAGGATGTATGGGATGCAGGGGTTATTCTGTATGGATATGGGTTCCTATGGATTATATATATGCTATGGACTATCCTAGGACAATCAGCTTCAGTAGGAGAGATGGGGATGGGTTTGTCCCACCCGACCAGCCTGCTGCTTGCAATACTTCCCAGAGCAGTGGGAGGTGTGGGCTTGAGCATGTCGTGTGTTTCCTATTTTGGAGGCTGTCTTAATCACTAAGTTTGGAGAACATGTGTCATTGGTGTGTCCTCTTGCAGATGTGCTTTCTTCAGGGATGGCTTGTAGGAGCCTGCCTTGATGTGTCAGTTCTGGGCAGCAGAGCACATAAAGCCATTTTTGAAGGCCAGATGCTGGGAACCCAGAGACACAAATCCACAGGATTTCCTTTTGGATAGTGCTCCATGGCACTCCTCTCCATATCTTGGTTTGATGTTTCATGCTCACCAGCTCAGGTTTTAGGCTCAGAAAGGCCCAAAACAGCTCCCCAAAGATCTCTTGTAACTACCCACCGGATCTTGTTCCAAGCTTGGAGCAACTGAAAATGTGGATCAGAGAGTCAGTCTTTGGGCTTGTAAATCCACTGCTGAAGTCCTGCCTGCTTTGTCCAAAGACACACGGGAAGTCCGTCCCAGAGACTTTAGCTCCCCATCTTCCCTTGTTCCTCAGCTGATGCTGAGTTCATTCCAGTCTCAAAAGCCAGAGGAAACCTGTCCTTTTAGTAGATTTATACCCGGGGCAAGATTGAGAGGAGCCATCTCTGGCAGGATTGCCATGTTAGGGTCTTTCTGGAGATGCCCCAAAATGTGCCCACATCACGCTCGGGATTTCCAGTTGCTGTGGTAACTGATCGCCTGTCCTTAACGTGTTCTGCCACTGAATTGTTCTAGTGCTCACTGTCAAGGAAACCAGCACTTTCATCTAATTTCCTAGGCATGAGGTGACAGAAAAGCAAAGAAGAGAGGAAAACAAAGTCTTACCTTCATCCCATGCATTTTTAACCTCTGCATAAGTCAGACTTCAGTGGGATAACTCCTGATTTGCTCCAAAGTACAAGGCAAAACATTTCATATGCTGAATCATTCAGGTGCTCATAAAATGTTGCTCGGTTCCCTTCTGCGCTTTCCCCTCCCTCCCTTCCTATTCCGTGCTATAGTTATTGTTTTGAAACAAGCTGGAAAGTCTTTGGAGAAAGTGCCATTCTGTCTTCAATATAGCCAGGGTAAAGTCTGAACCTGGCTGAATTTCTTTAAGTCCTTTCCTGATGGAAATAATATGTTGGTTTAGAAATCAGCATAGATGGGTCCATTGATGCTAAAATTGGCCCACGCTAAAATATTATGCCACCACAGCATTAATTACAGAATTACTGTAGGGTGGAGTTTTGGCCTCGACCCCTTGCAGTTGCTGCTGAAGATACAAAGCATATCAGGGATATAACCAGTAAAGGTGAAATGATAATGATTCAGCCTCATGGATTAGGTTTTTTTAAGATGGATTTGGTCTTGTAAGCCACCCTTGCCCACAGGAAAGAAGGGAGTGGCTGCCTTAACATCTTTGATACTATACTTTTGATTTGGCACTGCTGGAAATTTACCCTCCCACAGGGCTGCCTCTTTCTTCTGCGAACATAGACTTGGTCTAAACGAAGAAGAGAAAATTAATTCAGAGTTTGATAGGCTTCAGCACTTCTCAGAGCTGAAGATGAAAACTGATGCATGACCTGGAGCTAAGGTCTGCGGAGAGAAGAACGTGGTTCAAGATCCAAAAAGGGCTACAGCACCAAATTCATGAAGTCCACTATTTCAATACCCTGTGAAAGTCAGTCCAGGTTACAGACAGGAATTTCACTGCTACCCTACTCCTATTATAGCTAAAGGAAATTCCGAGCCTCTTGGAAATCACTGAGCTTTCCCTCATCGCCTTAGGAAGGACAGCATCCAACTTTGATGTCAAGAGAAACAAGCGGATTGTGTGATGTCACAGCCTGGTTGCCCCGGCAGAGAGATGTGCTGCCTTTGGTGAGAACATGGAATGGGGACGGTGTCCTGAGGTGTCTGCAGAAGCATCACTGCTCTGAATGTTGTCGAAGAGTGTTGGTCCAAGACCGGGATTGAAATGCTGCTCCTTACCCTCTTTTGTGTAGCTTCTCTGATCAGCAGCATCAATGCAGGTTTTTCTTCTCAATTTTTTTTGTTCAGAAATAACCAGCAGAGTGGAACTGCTAGTAGTCCTACAGGATATACACATGTCGGTAAATGAAATAGGCCTGGGCTTATTCCTTGTACTTGATGGCGTATATAGACGGCTTGTACTACAAGCTGCTACTGTACTCTTCCACTCATACTCCCTAGAAAGGACTTTATCCAGCCTGCCTATGGGAAATGGTCTGTGGCCCTGCTAGCCCCCAAACTGCCTGGGCATTGCTTGGCAGAGTGCAGGTTTGGGGAGGCTACAGTGATGCCAGGGGCTTTGGTAGACATCAGGTAGCATGGATAATTATAGACCAGGGCTTTAGCTGATGTTCTGCCCCTCTAGTTTAGTAGCACAGGCAATGGCACTGCCGCACGTGAGCAATATGTCTCATTTTGTACCCAGAGTGTGGCCTCCGACCATCTTACGAGTCCTTTCTGGACACTGGCAAGAGGATCACAGCAGGGAGATACGCCAAGACTGGGGAGTTCCCGTGGCACGTGAGCATCCAGAGCAACGGGAAACATATCTGCGGAGGCACCATGATCAGCGCATTGTGGATTTTAACTGCGGCCCATTGCTTTGCGGAAGAGGTGTGAGTACTCAGGAGAAGTGAGGACAGCCCAGGCCAGTGGGGTTGGTAACATCACTCCTTGTGGGTGTAGGATATGTCTGTCCTTGAGGTCTAGTGCAACATGTATGCGACTGAGCCAGAAAGAGAGCCCTGAACACAGGATATGTCTTCTTTGGGGAAAACAGGCCCATTTTTGATCAGAGGTAGTGTTACAACAGAAACGTGCAGAAATCTGCATAACCGGGAGATGCAGAAGGGCAATATTTTGAAGGATGGTCCGAGCAGCCTTGTATAAATGCCCGTGATGCTGTTCTGATGGCTCCAAGTATTTCCTTTACACCTAAAAAAAGGTGTATTCCATTCCAGCGTATGCTAACCCCCAAATTACCTTTGTTTTCATATAGCAAACACCTTTACCTCATGGAGAGTCTGATTTCAAAACAGCAGTCTCTGGCTAAATCAACCCCATGCAATGCCCAGGGGCAGACTCCAGCCTTCTGTAAGCCCCTTCCAAATATCATTTTTTCTCGGCAGGTCCGAGAGCTGAGACCGCTCGGTGACAAATGACCTGTGCCATCACAACCCGGAGCAGCTGGGCTGGAGCAGCGATCCCGACGATCTAGCCCACTCCATCTGTTCATTAGCGGCTGGGCTATTTATAACTTCGTTGCATTCATGTTCTCCCTCTGCACCTCTCTCCCCTGAAAATTAGCTTTGCCTAGAAGTGAGGGTAGATTTCTGCGGTATTTATAGCTAACCTGCCTCTGCAATTTACTGAGCACCACCCTACCCTGCTCAGGGGAAGGAAGCACCAACCTTTACAACAGAAAGCCTTCATGTTTGCTTATGTCTGCACTGCTTCTGTTTTGTTTATAAGGCCACCAGATCTCACTGTTGTAGTGGGGGGAACTGACCTCAGCCGACCGCTGGAACAGCATAGGCCGGACAGCTTGATCCTCCACGAAAACTTTGACAGAATGAGCATGCAAAATGATATCGCTCTGATCCTGCTCAGCAATCCCATTGAGTTCAGCAATGAGAAAATCCCCATCTGCTTGCCCTTCATATATGACATCAATACGTGGCAACACTGCTGGGTTGCTGGGTGGGGAACAACAAGTGCAGGTGAGATGCTGTCAGGAGATGTATTTGCTAACAGAGGCTGGTTTTTATCCATTTAAAGTGAGATGTGCTTTCCCAGGAAGGGTTACCCACACTAACTTCTACTCCCTACCTCCCTGGTATACCCATCCAGACCCTCGCAGCCTCTGCACATCCACCAGTTCTCTGTTCAATGCAAGAACCCGTCACCTCCTGACCCTCAGAACAAAGTCCCTGGTACTCTGAGCACGTACGTTCAAGCTGAAACCTTAGAGCCCACCTTTGCTCTGCAGGAATGCAACCTCTTGCTTGCATTTTTTGGCATCCTAAGTAAGACAAGCTCCACCCTGGTGGGCAAGTTAAGCTGGGTCTAAAGTGGTCTGGAATAAGGGAAATGAAGGTCTAGGGTTGTCTTTGGTTTAATGCCTCCATGAACCAGATTGATTCAATGGTACTGGCCACCCCTCTTCTTCACTCGTTTAGAACAGCAGGTTGCTATTGCTAATTGCTCTCATTTAAGCCCTAATGAAAGTAGCTCCAGCACTGATTGTGACCCAAAATGTCTATCCTGAACAAATGTCACTAAATGGCTAATGAGCGATTTCATTATTGGAAAGAGATAATTGGGATAGAGTGGGCAGGGTGGTGCCTTGGGGCTTTAACAGTCCTCCCTAGGATGTAGTAAGTGATTGTCCCATTTAATCCTTACTATTCTGCTCTGTGGGTTTACTGTCTCCTCTCTGAAACTCTGCATTTTCCTTCTTAGACTTCATTTCCCTCACGTAACAGTAATACAGGACACAGCACTGTGTTATAGTTGTGAAACTCTCCCATTTCACCAAGGTAACGTGCTCTGAGAAAAGCAGGGGGCTGCTGCAGAGTCACTCTGCAGCTTGGCAGGGTTTCTCTTTAGCTAGTCTCTTTGCAAAATGCATGGCACGGCTCCGGCGATCAGTCTCATGCTGCTGTGTGGGCTCAGTTGACATTGCTTCCTTCTGCTATCCAAATTGCACCCTGCGTGAGGTCAACGCGCTCAGCCCTGGCACACACCCCTTCTGTCTGGGAGATGTTTCAGAAGAAAACCAGCAGAAGCTGAGTACGGTGAGAGGGATGTGTGGTGGCGTGATACAGGCCATACCAAAAAGTATGAGGCGTTGTTCCTTGATGGGGGAAAATGGGTCGTTTCTCATCTCTACCAGCCTTTTGTAGGTGGACATCTCTCAACTAGCCCCTCAGGTGGCACTAGCCTGACTCCCCTTCAAATGCAGTGAATTAGACCTCAACAAGAAGAGCCACCTCCTCGGAGATACCTACCTCAAAGCATCTGAATCTGTGGGCACTTCCTATCTTAGCTGGGAAAAGGACCTGACAACTTTCTGTCTTTTAGATCTTACCTTTGAGTCCCACCTTCCCGAAGGTGCTGGGAGGATTTAGCTCAGTGAAGTACGGAAGGAGGAGTGAGTTTCTCTGTAGGTCTCCTCCCCAGCAGTATCCTCCTCCAAAAGTCAGTTTTATCCTTCAGGCTCAGGTTCACTTTAAAAAGAAACGTGGGTGAAATGAGTGGGTTTTTCAAGTAGCCCTGCATATTTTCAGTCTTTTTGTTGCTTGCTGGTGCCCACTGCAATTTCTGTTTTCCCATCTTGAGGGAACAGTAAAGCAGTTATTTCCATTGTGTACTGCCATCCTGAGAGCCACTTTGTAAAAAATACAGCTGGTCGCCTCGGTGAGGCATGGCCAGGAGAGTGTGGGGATAACAAGGTCAGCTGTTCTGGGTAAAGCTCAGTGGACTTTCCTCTGCAGGGCTCACACAGGACCCCATGAAGGGGCCCTCAAACTGAGTTCCCCAGAAACGTGAGTAAGAAACCCAAGGTGTGCAATGCAGCTCATCTCAGGTCATCACCAAGACCAGCGGGACAAGCTGTCCCTTTGGGGGTACCACATCCCAGAGTTCATCTGCAAAAATAAGTGATTTTAAAAAAATCCTATTTAGCAAGCCTCCACCGGCCAGGATTTCAGATTTGCCCATTAACACTTCCCCCCTTTCTACCTACCTACCCACCCACCTCCTGGTCTAGCATAAAGTCAAGAGCACAAACTTATCTTTGCTTACACTTGGACAGCCTCTGTAAGCACCTGTGACCATACGGTTGTGCCCTGAGACACTTTACAAATTTGACTGAGAGCAGTCCCAAGGGCTGGTCTCCGGCTGTGATATCACTCTTACAAGACTGCACTGCTCTGCAGTTTTGTTAATCCTTCTCTTCTCACTTGCTGGTTACCTGTTGCGGTTCCAGCGTCCCACGTGCTGCAGAAAGCGCGGATGAAGCTCATCAGCAGGGAGGAATGCTTGGAGCGGATCCCGCAGCTAGAGGAGAACATGCTGTGTGCTGAGCTGGAGAAAGGAGAAAGAGGTGCCTGCCAGGTAAAGTAAATAGGCTCCCGGATGGCCACGCTGCCTACGGGGGCACCGACACATTGGGGGAGAAGCTCCTTCACCTCAGGAACAAATATTGATTCTTCCTACGGCTTCCTGGGGTTGCTAAAGCTTCTCTGCAGGAGGCCAGGGCAGGATGCCCAGCGGCCAAGGAACTGCCTGCAAAGGCATATTGACCCAGGCAACGGGGGTGCAGGGCTCCTGGGGCTCTGGAAGGCAGGAGCGGTGCTGGAAATGAAACACCTTGTTGAGTGGATGAGCCTCTCATGCTCTCCCCCCTGCCCCGATTCCCTCCCTGCTCCGAGAGAGACAGGAGCTCTGCAAGGGAAACCGTGAGCTGAAAGGGGGAGCGAGGGAAAAGGATGGTTCCCAGCAAGCGCCCTTGGATAGGAAACCGTTTTGGATGGCTCTAGGCACAGGATTTTGGACTGTTACCTCACAGCAATTTAAAAACCCAGCGTCTGCTGTGGCCAAGCTGTGGAGTGGTGGGAGAGATGGGAGGAGAGGTCTCGCATCCCTGCGGAGAGGGCTCAGCACAGCATGGGCTGCGTCCTCCTCCTGCCTCGTGTCCCCTCAGCCCTGGGCCAGGCAGTGCTGCTCTACCACCAGGTTAAATACTGAAAGGAGACAGGAAAAGTTTGTCCAGGAGGGTCAAAGCAAAAGAATTGGGAAGCAACTTTAATCCAGGTGCATTTAATTTGAATATTAGGAACCTTTCTCAGGTGCGGTCTTGGCTCTGACCCAAATGTCCTTTGCTAACACAGCAGGTTGGTCTGTGGGTGCTGGAACTAATCATGTCTTATTGCAGTGAGTTCGTGATACAGGATGATGGACTTTTCAAGCTAAATTATAAAGACTTCAAGTGGTATTTGATATCAGGGACTGCTAAGGGGAGAGAGCTGACACAAACGCCCAAATGTGGGAAAACCTCACTCAGAACTTGTGGCCTCAGAACACACTCCACCCTGCAGAATTGCTGTCTGGATGTCAAACAAAGTCTGAAAGCCAACAAACACCTTTTCTTTCATAGCATCCAACCTCCAACCCCTCCTCTGAGAGCCTGGTGAGGACTGGGCTCTCCTTCAGCCTCTGTTTCAGGACTAAGGTCTCCATCCTCCACCGGGCAAGGGTTTTCTTAGATGTGTGCATGTGTTTGCAGTGGGACAGATGGACAGGTATGCAGAGCTTCATCCTGTAGGAATCATTCATTGAGGGAACTAAAACAACACCCAGGCCTGAGAGAGATCCCCTGCCCTTTAGGCAAAGACAGCAGGTACAGGGACCATGGACTGCCAAGCCATTGCGAGCTGGGCCCATAGCTGGGCAGCGGAGGGGAAGTTTGCTTTGCAAAATCATTTTCTGATTAGCCAGAGAGCATCTGTCTCTGAAACCATTCATCTAGTGACTTTCACCTCCATTAAATTCAATCAAAAATTTTAAAAAGAAAACTGCCACAGGATAACATTAACATAATTAAAGAATGCACTTCCCAGCCCAGCCTTAAGTTCTGCGGCTGAATTATGCTGGTGAAACAGCAAGAGCACTTGTACCCAGCAAAATGAATCTCCTGTAGTCAGAAAGCTGATGAGGGTGCTATTTTGATCTGCAATAATGTTAGAGTCTTCTGAGAAATGAACTAGAAATGTGAGCTTTCCAAGCAGTGGAGGTACACAACGATTGAATGTGTGATAATGCTCATAAACCAGCGACTGCGCACTTGTAGTGGAAGCTTGACCAGGCAGAAATGTCCTGCGAACTGAAATAATGAGAGCAAGACAAAACCATACCCTAGGCTAGTGGAGCTCTTCAGGAGAGAAACAGGTGATGGGTTTTCTGGGAAGTGCTGACTGAAGTCAGGTAGGGCAGGTTTTGGCCTTGCTAGGCTGGTTCAGAAATCTGGGGGCTTGCCCGTAGTAGGCTGCCCAGTAATGAACTGGGAAGCCAGGTCCAAACCTGATGCTTGCTCTGCAGCATGGACCACTGGACACCCAACTCATCTGCCCTGGGCAGATAGCGAGGCACACTGTAGACAGTGCAATCTATCCTGCTACGCTTGTCTATAAAGATTATGGGGTTTGTGTCAAATAAGAATGAGGCCAGGTTCCAAAATACCTAAATCCTTTACAAAGTCAGCACTGTCAGGGAGGTGGAGCAGCCCTGGGCACAGTTTTCATCTATACCAACTGGCTGTAATCTGGATGACTTCCAGACACAGCTCAAGCTTCTGTAGGGGTCAGGAGCCACCCACAACAGAATCACAGAATAGTTTGGGTTGGAAGGGACCTTGAGAGGTCATCTAGTTCCAACCCCCTGCCATGGGCAGGGACATCTTCAACCAGATCAGGTTGCTCAGAGCCCCGTCCAACCTGACCTTGAATGATTCCAGGGATGGGGCAGGATCACTTTGGATGCTGTCACCCCAGTTTAGAGGCTAGGAAGGAGCAGCAGCACAGGCAAGGCAGAGACCCCTGGTCAGGGAACAAGATGCTGAGCTTGCTGGTGTAGCTATGGTCGGTAAATCTGGAAGCCATGCACTGCAGAGGTGCATGACATGTCTGGACATGAAGTAGATAAAAGCCTTATGTTAAGCTTTTCTGAGGTTTGCTGACAATCAGGATACATTTGTTCATGTCCGAAGCCATGCTAAGTTGGGCAAGTTGCATCTAGACCCAAGGTTGTAAGCCCACATGATCCTGATCTGGGTACAAAGGATTACCATCCTAGGTCTTTGGACTGTGTGCCATTTGTGTGCTAGATTTTCCCCGTTGCAGCAAGCTGTTTTATATGAGTAACTAGAGCCACACAGAAGTCTTCACCAAGGCATTGTGCAGAAGTTTTATTCTACTGACCACTGCCTTAATACCCCCATGTGGCAACAGGACATGAATAGAAAGGCTGAGACATTTCACCAGCTGCCATCATACTAGTACCAGACAAGACTAATTTGTGGATCACTGACCATATTCCTATAATAAGTCAAGGAGATTGAATAGCAGAGCTCCTGAGTATTTGTACTTTAAAAAAAAAATCCATTCACTTAAAAAGAAAAATCTATTGTATACCATTCCCTAGTGGTTCTGCAGACAAATATATAGATTGACTGTGAATTAACACTAACAGGATCTGTAATTGACTTATAGTTCTATTTAGTCATAAACATTAGCATTAATGGATGTTCATGGGGTACAAGTGCTAAAGAACAGACGCTAGAGATGGCCTATGTGTTATTTTTTCGTGCGCTACATTTCTTCCATGACCCCATGAACCACAATTGATGTCTAATTCCTTGCTTTCTTAAGCATCGTTTGTTAGGCTCTGATGCAATGGCAGCTTGAACAATAATTAGAGTATGAGGGACTCACAAAGCAAATGCTTCTTCAGCGTCTTGCCTATCCAGACAAAATTCAGTAAATGGCCCAATTATATTTCAGAGAGTTTCTGCAAAGGAGGTCTGTGGGGGTAGCTCTGCGATGGGGTGATTAGGGCAGAGAGTGTGTTCAGCTGGAAGTCACAGTTCACGTACAGTTCAGGTCAGCAGCGGATGAAGAGGGGCCCACTCCCTGGCCTGACTTTCAGGGGAAGGAACCGTTGTGTAGCCACAAACAAGCAGTGGGATGGTTCCAGCTCAGCTTCACTCTGTAGGGCTGATCTGAGTCATGGGCTGAAGGTATCATCTACCCCCTTCCACTAGTTGTAGCCGGAGGTGATCTTGGCCATCTCTGATGAATGTCTGAAATGATGCATCTAAGGCTCTGGGGTTTAATTTCTTTAGTTGTGTGAAAAAGGCAGAGAAGGACCTCTTTCCTTCACCTGCAATATGACCTGCCCACATATACTGTCAGCAGTTTGGAAAGGGCAAATTCCCTTTACAACACCTGGGGCGCTCAGGGCTCTCACCCCTCGTAGCTGTAGTGATAGCAGTAGTTGTTGTACTACCCTGGGTGGGATTTACCCAGCGAGATACAAATGTCTTTTCTGTAGCCATCTGCAGCTACCGAGTCATCTTTCCATCAATAGGGAGAAAAAAAGCTCTTCTGACATGCATTCATTGAGACTGTTTTAACCACCTATTATAAAACGAGATAAATCCCTGTATGAGTGCTTATTGCTCCCCATTTACTAAAAACAAGGTGTCTAGGTCACAGGGAGACACGGCTCCAAGGCAGGACAGTTGCCTACATCTAAGTCTCCAGTGCTATTTTAGATATCCCAGGTTACCCCCCTGGCTTCCCACTGCCCCCATCTCAAACCATGTCCCAGTGCCAGTAATGAGACTGCAATGGGAGCTTGACACTTGCACTGGAAACACCAAGGAGAGGTGATCGGTCTGGAGCTGAAGTCACCCCTGAGCACCCTCGCTTCATCTGTGCATAAGAGTGCAGAAGTGACAAAAGCTCTTGCATCCTTTTACAAGCTCTTGCAGCCTTTTAGTGGTGCTAACGTGGGTCCAAAACTGCAAAGGAAGACTTACGAAATAGAATTTTTTAAAGAAAAAGTCTGCAAATGAAAATTGGGTCCGTGTAGGTAAATTGCGACAGATGCAAGGAAAAGGTCACAAACCAGGGAAGCGTGGTCAGTCCCTCAGGCTGTTCAAAGTATCTGAATGGAGGTGGATAGATGATGGTCTGACTGCAGTCTGTAGGGAGGGTGAGTATCTGTATGAGCTCTGAGGTTATAGGCCCTTCTGCCTATCAGGAGGGGGCCAGGAGTCAAAGCTAACCGCATTTCAGTTCAAAGTTATTACTAACTGTACAAAATTACTTTGCTATTGTACCTTACCTTAATAGTGATGAGACTGATCCACTCTCCATTCTCGTGGTGGATTCTCCATCACTGAACTTTTGCTGACATGATGAGGTGGGTTTTTTCCCTAAGGGACAGATTGCTTTAAGTAGGAAGGTATCCTGGGAAGCCCCAGAACAGAGTAGTAGAAAGGTGTTTCTGCATTGGCAGTCTCTTAAATTTTCTTCTGAAGGGTGCTTTGATGTGCAGCTCGTAAGAATCAGAACGCTTTTCCTATGTCCCATGGTTTTATAGGCTTTTCATCATTTTATCATTTTATGATATGGGCTGACAAGTGAACACATTCAGGCCGTGGTGGCTTAATTGTCTGATCTGTGAAACACACTCCTTCCTATTGCAAGGACCGGGGCTGTTGATGATGTCGCATGTCTCTTCTTCTTCCTTCCTCTGGGTTTGGTCCCTCAAACTGAAGCTGTTTGGTTTGCAGCAAGGGGGTCCAGCATTACTTCGTGTGCCTGGTGGGGGAAGCTGTGGGGAGCAGAATATCTTTGCATCCAGCTGAACACAAAAGCTACTGTGTGCTTGCCCTCAGAGTGGGGGAATGGGTGCGATGACTCAGAGGAGCCGCTTCTCATTCAATTACAGTGAGTCAACAGGGCTTTAAGGGAAAGTCATGACTCACAGGCAGATTTAAATTCTTTGAAGGAGTCACAAGCATGTGGCAGAGGGTGATCCAGCTGATATAACGCGCTGAGATTTCCAAAACTCTTTTAACAAGATTTCTCACCGAAGGCTCACGGAGGAACTGAGCTGTCATGAAGTAGGATGGCTTCCGTTTGAAAGGGTGGCAGCACGGAGGAAGGATTTGACCGGAGAAAGGGCTTACAAGGGGACCGGTGCTGGCATCCGTGCAAGGAATTGTGATGTTCAAGGAGGGCGAATGCTGAGACGACCAAGTTGGCCAATGCCACAGCATTACTCAGAGTGGTCAAAATTAAAACTGACCGTGCAGAGGTGCAGCAGGATCTCATTATGCTGAGTGACACAGGTTAAAACAGCAGATGCAGTTCACTGTTGATAAAGGAAAAGTAATGACTGTAGGGAGAAGCAACTCAAGCTGTATGCATGCAATAAAAGGCTCTAAATTACCTATTACCATGTAAGAAGATCTTGGAGTAACTGAGTATAGTCCTTCAAAAACATCAGCATGAGGCTCTGTGGAGGTCTAAAAGGCAACGAGAGCATTATGAATTATTAGGAAAGAAATAGGTAGCAAAGCAAATGTGTGTTATGCCAGGGCACTAATCTTGGGAGTCTACGTCTTGTGTGCTCTGTGTGTGATTCCCGTCCATCCCATCTTGAGAAAGGAGTAGTATTAGAAGAGAAGAGCAGAGGAACAGGGACACGGAGTATCTTCTGGTGGAAAGGAGAATAACAGAGCAGGACTCTGAGGCTTGTAAAAGTTTGTCTGATGGGGACATGACACAGATTTCTAAAGTCTTGAGCAGCAAGGAGAGGACAGTCAGGAGCTGTCCTCTTGTCACTACTGTTCAAAATACATGAAGGAGGGGGTGTCAGATGGCCGTATCAGGCAGCAGATTTAAAACAACGAGAAGGAAGTGGTTTTTCATCCAACAGATAATTAAACTATGGAAGTCACTGACCAGGATGTTGTGGGTATTTATCCTAAGGGATAAATGGATTCAAAAAGCAATTAGATAACTTCCTGGATGAAGATCTCTCTAAGGCTATTAACCACTGTGATGTAAATACAACTCTGTAAATACTTGCCCTGTTTCTCATTCTCTTCCCTGAGCACTTGCTACAGATGACAGTCAGACACAGGAGTCTGGGCCACATGGGTCTTTGGCCAGATGCATTATAACCGCCTTTAAGTCCGTGCCACCGTAGCTACTAATGGACCCTGCGGACATCAGTGGGGATGGAGTTGGGCGGTCTTGTTCTCCCATTTTCCAGCAAGGGGATGGAGGGGCAGAGTAGCTGAAGGCTCTCACCTGAGGTCTCAAAGGGATCCCATGAAAGGAGTCCAGGTGCCCTGTGTAACCTGGTTCGTTTTCCATACCTGCACGCTAAAAATGGCTGTAGCCTGCCTCCTTCCACTTTTCCCTAAAGACAGCTTCTTCATGGTGAAAAAAACTGAAGAAATAATCTGTTTGCAAAAGCCTTTACTTCCTGCATCCAGGGCAGCTCTAATGGCAAGTGTTGTTATTCACATGCTGATTCTCTCCAATTTACACAGAGCTTACCAACATGAAAATGAAACCAGCAATGACTTGCAAGGATTGTGTATCCACCTAATGAGTATCAGATGGGTTGTCCTCCCTCCCCCAGAGCTTCTCCCATCTAAGAAGATTTATGTGGCTGAACGTGTTTGTTCTGATCAATTACCATGTTGCAGACACGAATACAAATATGAACGGAAGAAGATTACACCCTTGATCCAAAGCCCACTAAGTCAGCAGAAAGGCTCCTGATATTCACAAAAAGGCTTTAGCTGTGGTGAAAAGGATGAAACTTTTGATCAGCTTCAGTGAACAAAGCGCCTTGTTAGTCGGTGACAGTTTTTATACAACCCAGAACTATTTATGGGCAGATATATCATGGCTCTCACCTCTCCTAATGGAAGGATTAACATGCAGTTGTGGAAGGCTTGAGTTCAGCACCAGATCTGATTTGATGTGGTTGCTTTTCAGTCATCCTCCAGCTGACAAGAAACATGCAACAGAGGCAAAGATACTATTTTTAGGTCCTTTTCTGTCCAGAAACTTGGCACTGAGACTAAAGAGCAGGAGCAGGTATCTGGTGTGTGTCGCTGACCAGAAGTATTTCACCACCAGGATACAGGACGCTGAAAGCTGAAAGCAGCATTTAATAAGTTCTTCGATCTTCAGAGTCGTTAACCTGAGCATTCATTAAATTAGTGCTACTGGAAACATCACAGAGCTGAGATAATTGTACCACTGCTCAAAACTCGCTCCTCCCACACCCTCTCCTACACAAGGATGGAAAATCTTGGGCCAGCGTTTCTGAGAGCTTAAGGTGGATGCAGAGATATTCAGAAGTGTCCAGGAACTGAGTTTATTTTCTCTATCTTTTGCCCTATAAAAAACAGGCTACTGATTCATCTGGATCACTGCTATAATTATGTGAGCGAGATTATCACATGGAGAGGATGATTTAGCCCATTCTGTGATAAAATCATTGGGTTAAATAGCTGAAGTTAGGAGAAATGGCATGTTAGAAGTTGCACCCATGAAGCAGACCAGCTCAGCCCATGTGGAAAGGGATCTGAAGCAGGATTTGGGTCTCAGGGCTTGTGGATTAGAGAAATGGATTTGCAGCTGCTGCCTGGGTTTTCACAGCATTGCCTAACTCCCTCTCTGCCCAGGTTTTAAATCGCTTTCCACAGCTGACAGACCCCCAAGCCCTGCAGACAGCTCTCCCTTTCCCCGCCGAGCGGGCAGAGAGCAAAATGAACATGGATAAAGAAGGCAACAGAGAAAAGCAGATCTGGTGTGAAAGGAAAACTGCGTGATGTGTGGTTTAAACAGGGATTCCTGGCTCTGCCATTGCCTCGTGCAAATCGCATCCCTTTTCTGCTGTGGTTTTTCTCAGCTATGAAATATGATAAGACTTCTCCCCCCAAGGATAGTCACAAGGTATCAGGAATAAACTGGTATTTAAGTGCCCTGGGAGAAAGGTCCTTTGCAAGTGTGAACAGCCTCCAAATTGGACACTCTGAAACCGATCTGCCCTAATGGTGTGCAGGGACTCTGCCTGTGCTAAAAATCTCCTTTACAAGGAAACGCTGTCACGATACATCCCGACATATCACTGATGAAGGATCGTCCGCCGTTGCTGCACCGCTGGCTTGTGAATGGCTCCCACCCTCTCGACTTCATTTATTATCTTTGTGTAGGAGGCTCGAAGTGCCTTCCTTTCGCTACCAGGATAATACGTTTGGCCTGTTCCTGCCCTAAGGGAATTAGCAGTAAAATTCCCAGTAATTTAATTATGCGTACAGCCTAGGAGATGTTCATTCATTCAAACAGGATGCCATCGCCAAGGACACTGATAACGCATGGATCCAAGGTCACTGCAAGGTCACTTTTGCCATTCACGAAAATTCTTGGCTGAAACAGGGTCGGGAAACATTTTTAGATCCTGAGTCTGAAGCGGGTCCAGCAGCACTGGCTGAGATGCAGACACATAGCTACAGTAACACCGTTGCAGTGCAAACAGTATTGAATTCACAGTTGGACTGGATGATCTTAAAGGTCTTTTCCAACCTAAATGATTCTGTGATTCTATGACTGAATGCTGAAGAAACATTTGCTCTGTATTTATCTCAGTTTTTCCCTCCTGTATGCATATTGAACTAAAAAGAAAAATAGAAAAAAAAAATTAAAAAAGATAAACATATTAATGACCTGGGCCCTCCATCTAGCGAAGTGAGTAGGAATTCAGCCATAAACTTCAGCGGGTGCTGATGAGTTGCACAGGGGACTACAGCCGCTTCCTTACTCATTAATTAATGTGTGTTAGCACAGGGTAGCTGCTGGCGGAAAGGGGTTCATACATTAACGACAAAAACATTTCTCAAAGTAGTGTGCAAAGAGAGAAGGCCAACATTTCCCAGGAAAGCTGGCTGCCTCGGGAAATGGGTTCGTATTGAATTTATTTGCCACTTGTACTGGAGACAGGGTAGAAAAAAGATTCAAACCCACTGTGGAAGGAAACTTCTTTAAAGCAGGGTCTGCATAGCACTTAAGATAAGAGTTTGATTGTCCCAGTCAGCCTGTGGGCACCTCTCAGCTGCTATGAGAGGTTTGATCCTGCTGTAACATCCTCCTTATGCCGTAGGTGGACAGCGGGGGACCTCTGGTTTGCAGCTACTGGAACACCATGAAGTGGTTTCAGGTTGGCATCGTCAGCTGGGGAGAAGATTGTGCAGAAAAGCCAAACCATGAGATCTTAATATCTGTTTACAGCTACCGTGGCTGGATCGAGACTGAAACAGCCATAAGGGGGAAACCTTTCTTCATTGAAGGCGTGGATAACCATGCAAATGGCGAGGTGGTTCTTTCCAGGGCTGAGACACAGCTGGTGTTTCTTGAGTGTCGCCTCCTTTTATTTATCTCTTTAATAGCAATTAGATTACTCTAGAGAAGATTTTTCAAAGCATAATAAAAGAACTACTGTCTCATTCTTCTTTTGCTGCTGACCCATATAATCATGTCTCAGGTCAACCTGCTCCATCTCACTGATGTGGACACAGATGCCAAAATGAGATGGCACAGCGAGGCAAGGAAGCGATGCAGAGGACAGAGAGATGAATGAGAGAGCCCAGGACACTGACAAGAGAGGCCATAATCCTCTGAAAAAAACAGATTTTCCACACTGGTGGGTCACATCAGGCCCTGTTTTTTGCTAAGCTCACATGCGAAGTCAAGATGTGGCAGCTGAAGCAACTGCTCCCCTTGGAAAACTGAAACCCTAAGAAAGGTCTTAGCTTACTCAGTTGCATATTAACTTAACTGTTGGTAGGATAGCTCTGGGTTAACGTATCTTACAGCTAATTATTAGCTGGACTAATGTATCTTCTATCTTGCAGCTGGCCCAAGCTAAAGGCATCTTCAGGGACCAAAGCAGCTGTTCAGGTGATACGTCAAGCTGCTGGGACATGACTACATGTCATATTCAGTATATCCTTAAGCTACAAAAAGGGCAAGAACTCTTTTGGGCAGTGTTGGAAGGTGTAGCATCATCTAACTAATCAGTCTTATGCTGGGTTTTGGTTGTTAAAGGCAACAGAGAAAAATCTGGCTGAGCTATCCATAAAATGCTGTCTACAGAAACGCCTTGGCTTTGTAATTAGCCAACTTTAATCCTTTGCAAGTAAATGGTAAATCAAAAGGAAATAGCATTATTTTTTTCTGTGTTAGAGGCCTTTTATGTGCATTGCTGGGGGCCCACATCCCAGCCTGAGCTGGGACTGAGCTGGTCCTTCATGCAACGCGTGGTCCTTCATTGCTTCGCCGGCAGCAAAGTGCATTGCAAAATGTGTACTTGTCTTCACAAGGAGGTTGCTTTTCTTGGAAGTGATGGGGAAGGAGGCAAGCAGCAAGGTCTCCTTCATGTCCCACCTTTGCAATGGCATAAAAGCACCTGTAATTTGCAGCAATGATAAAACTCAGTGAATGTGCAATGGGACAGAACCTCACAAATTGGTTTTAATTACCTTGATATTTTCTGGCTAGCTGGTGGAGAAGCCTTGTAAATGAGAATTAATTCATCTACCTTAAGCTAATGCAAACCCATCTTGGCATAAAAGTCAGACTTTATTTTCTGTGTTATCTGAGCAGAAAATAATGCTTAATTATTATTAGTTCTGAGTAATGCTTATGAAAATTGCTCCACATTAATTTCACATGACTGACTGGCTAATGGATGCATAAAGGTCTTGTAACCCTTTGCAAAAAGACTAATAAAAGCTAAAAACAAGGGGAATATATTACTTTAGCAGCTATTAGTAGTAGACAGTGTCTGCTGGCATTAATACCTATATTTATTTTCCTTTCTATTAATAATATATCAACAGATTCTAGAAGCTGTGGCAGGGGCTGGACATCAGGAAATATTTCCTAATGCTGCAATCTATTCAGCTACAGAATTGTTTCCCCCAAAGGAAACGAGAGATGTCCTCCTGTTTGAATTATTTTAATGTAGGGATTGTATAAAGCACTTTTGTCTACAGCACATGGCATGGAAAAAACCTGCACTTACAGGGAACTGCAGAAGGACTCAGTAGGTCTTTTCCATCAGTAGCATTTGCATACTGTTAAGGGTCTGTGTTAAACGAAGGTGATGCTACTCACTGGTTACAGCAGGGCACTGCTGCTGTAGGTTTTGATCCATCCTGCTGCTCATTTACTCAATGGCCTTGGGGAAAGAAAGTTTGTGCTTCGTGCCTCAGTTTCCCTACTTGTAAACTGAGAAAATGAAAGTGGTTCACTTTGTTCTATGGAAGCATCAGTTCTGCAAATTAAGACCAGCTATGTAGCTGCAAAGTAATAAACAGGGAAGAGACTTTTTCCTCCTTATTTGAAACATCATAAAATTCATTAAAGTGAATGAATCTTTGCTACTACATACACTCATTATGTATGTTCATTATTTAGGGCAAGAAAGGAAATGTTTGTTTAATATTTCTGTGCTGTAAGTAGGTCTGATGAAAACAGGTTGATGCTGTATTTTGTTTCAAAGGTATTTGTGTTTTGAGAGAGCACATCACTTTTGATTATGGATTTGATGGGAATGTGCTGGAGTCACACAAAATCAAAATGCAATATATCGGTTTTGTCATTAACATTTCAGTGTGACCCATTAATTTTTTAAGCTTTACAACATTGGTGTACTATGTTTCTTACATTATTGTATTCCATATTCACTTAGATCATCTAAGTGAAAAGTTTCCAAATTGAACTACCTCAACTTTTATGCTTCAGGCTATAGTTCGGGATGTTAATTTTCTGTCTTAATATGCAGCAAATTTCCTATTGCTCCTTCCCTCTTTCCAGATACCCCTTCTTCATGTGCAGTCAGCCAAATGGAGAGACCATCAAGCGGTCTGGGCAAAAGAAATACGTTTCTTTCAATATCCTTTGCTCAATGAGCAACAAATGGCCAACATAAACCAAGAGGCTGCTGCATGGAGCATGGTGATGCAAAGCAGTGCCCCAAAATACTGATTTTGTTCTCGGCACTACACCTTTAGCAGCAAATACCAGAAGACAAGGCAGCTATAAAAATGCTTAAAGACCTGGGGAAACATCCATAAGGGGATTCAAGGCACAAAAATATGAGGATATGGGTACTCAAGGAGACAGAGAAGAGGTAGTCAGGCCTTGCTTGCACATTTTGCTACGGAGCTAAGAACAAAAGCACCTCCCGTGAGCACTGAAGGTAGCAATTTAAAAGCCAATATACCAAAACAATTTTGGCTTAGTTCTGCAGAAATTAAGGGCTCTGTATATATAGGCGCATTTCCCTGCCTGCCACATCCCAGCTGGCTGTTTGCACGCAACTTTGAGCAGAGAGATGGAAGATTTGAAGATGATGGTGTTTGTGCAACTTTGGCAGCAAAAGCTGGTTGCAGATGAGAAGTGGGGAGGGCTCCAAGCAAGACAGACAGTCGTGTGGCTCCACCTCAGAGAAGGAGGGTTGGAAGAGCATCAGTCCAAGGTCATAACTACCGCTGTAGAAATCCAATCTTTATTCAGGGTGATAATCCCAGACTTCTCTCGCCCAGCTCCTTCTCAGTAGATGTGACATGGGTGATCTGAGGACAAAACAGTTGCCAGCACAAGCCTTTTAGAGGGACAGAGATTTCCCATTTTCTCCTTTTCCAGCCTGTGCTTCCTCACAGGGATAAGACACAATGAAAACCATAGACTTGTCTTCTCCTGCTCCCTTCAGCATCGTGGGCACCTCTGTCCCTCTGAGGAGAAGGCAGATGGCCACACAGATGTGACCACAACCGTTGGCATCCATTTGTTGGTTGATATGCACTGCATGAAGTGTTTTGACTTTGCGTATGTGTCTTTAGCTGTCTAGCTTCAATCCAAGCAAGATGGCAGAGGGCTTATTTCTCTCCTGTGTTTCTGTGCACCTACCAGGCGATGAGTGAAAAAGCATCTGTAGAGATGGTAAAAATCATTGCTCAGGTCTTTAATTGTGTCTTTTGTTGATGGTAAAGTAGATTAGAACTGGAGACCGAAGGCTGCAGTGGATCTGCACCCATTCCCACATTTCCCAGTGACTTCCCAAGTGGCTTTCTGGACAAGCCGTTTTTCAGGCTAAGGACTTAGTTTACCCTTCTGTAAGCATGACAATAACTAAAAGCCAGGGATGTCTCCTGGGATGCATGAATTGTGATAGTGATTAATCACTGCTGTTAACTAAAGTGAAGATAGCTCTGGGACAGAAAACACTACTGACAGTATCGAACTACTTGATTTCTTCAAGAACTGCTGAACTCTTCTGGTGTGAGGCTGAAGAGATGCTTCAAGTAGGTGGATTATGGTCTGAAGGAGAGCTTGGCTTTGGGATGAATACAAGACAGAGGTTGGCAGCCCTTGCCGTGCCTAACCAAGCCATTGACATCCCTAAATGTACTCCAGAAATACAACCACGCTTTTCCCTGCAGTGTGGGAATGCTCAAGCGTGCTGGATGTGTGCCGAGCAGTGCCCAACCTTTGCATAGCAGTTGTGCTTGCTGACCTTGAAAAAACACCTACTCTGCTTGAAGGATTTTGCTCAGTTGCCATTTTTAGTCTTTGAGCATTTCATTGCCAGGGAAATCCCTCTGGTTTTGGCTTCTCTCGCAGTCCTGTGACAGCCCACACTGCTGATCATGAGTGGCTTTTCTAAGTCATGCTTGAACTGCCCGTGTACTTCAAGAGCACCAGATCGGCCATCTCTGGGCAGATCATACTTCTTTACTGTGCCAACACTGGTGTGCACAGCTCCTGGTGGTTATTAGGGCTTGCAAAATGGAACAGCTGGCAGCAACTGAGCTTAAAACATCCTGTGGCATCACGAAACATCCTCTGACTGGGCATTTCCAGGTATCTGTGTTCAAAGTACCTGCCTCCCACGCCCTTTTCTGAGAGGTGCCTTGTGCTTGCTAATGATTTCTGTATTCACAACTGGTTGCTTTCTCCATGTCTCATCATGACTCACTGCTTCAAGGGCTCTTTAATATGCAGTTCACTTTGTTCCCACCACCCAGACCACTAAATGATTTAGCATGTGGCTACAGAGGACAACACTGCATTTGGCTTCTCTCCTGGGAAGGGTGGGCTTCAAGACACTGCTGGAAAGTAAAAGTTCTTCTTCCTCAAGGCTTTTGAATTTTTATGTCTTAGCACTAACTCTGCAGATATTAACCACAACGTAAGCAACTCCAGAGCTAATCTATGTATCTCCAAATTAGGGAAATGGTGGGGGGGAAGGATGATATGATGGCTTAGGCACTGAATGCAGACAAGGAGCATAAATTCAGCTCTGCAGCAACCCTCTGAGATCCTGGAGGAGCTCTGTAGGGTTGCATATGAAGAAGAGGAACTCTTGAAAATTGAGACAATCAATTGTGAGCCATCTGA